CTTTTGGTTTTTGAAGCTCTGTCAAGTATATACCATTCAGTATTTTAGGACAGCTAGAAATAAATCAGGAATATGAACTGGTATTTTTAGAACGGCAATGACAATGACACGGTTAATAGTGCATGAAAACAGCGATCTATTGAAATATTTGGTAAATGAGACGCATTTTAGTACCATAAAACGGAGTAAGTAAATGCCCAGCTTCTAAATTCCCACCAAATGTAAACTGTTACATAATAATATGAAACTGATATGAATTATAATAATCATATATCATAATCAGTGTCGGGTTAAGCCAGCGCGGGGCCTGTAGCAAATTCTGTCAAGAGGCCTTTGGTTTGCTATAGGTTCTCAAGTTAAGGGTATTGAATAAAACTGTTACAAATGAATTTTTCTGGATTTAATATGGGTACATTCAGAGATGATACTTTCATATATCGACTTCTTTGAGCAAATCATGTTCTATATTCATCAAAGTGATATGATTAGGACGTTCTTGTCCATCGTGTTTCAACTTAACGTTGAAAAATAATGTTCGCCACTGCAGTTAGTGATCATGAGAGACAAGTAAATACGAAAGGCAATTTCTAAGTTTGAGAAATACTATTCAAAGAAATTATTTGATGAAAGTTTATAACATGTTTTGGAATTGGCCGCGGTGATAGTGCGCCCGACTCACGATCGGAAGGTCGTGGGTTCGATTCCCGCCTCGACCAGATATTTTTTTCGGGAGAATTTATCTGGTTGAAGATGGGATGATTCTGCAACCGTGTTAGGAATCACACGTTAAAAGGTAAGACCTCGTTAGTCCTTAGCTAACAATTTATTGGGAGTTGTAGTGTTTCCAACACCATACAAATTAACGATGAAAGTTAGTGAAATTAACTATTTTTACATCAACGTGTTGATTTATAGACTCAAAAACGTATCAATTAATTAATTTTCTATCTAATAAATACATTTTTATACAATATAGATATAAATGAATAATATCAGATAAGATTTAACGTGACGAAATAGGTTTTCAGGTGGCAGTGAAACATAGCCTAGCAAAATATTTTTACACGCCTATCCAAATTGATATTTTTAACGGTCAGACAGGTGTTGGACCGCGGGGCTCCTCGAGTCGCGGGGCTCGTAGCATTTGCTACTTTTGTTACGTTGCTAATCCGGCACTGATCATAATTGTCTGATAAGTAAAAATATATGAACTCATATGATAAAAGTGTAACTGATCGCTGTCTATTTATGATAATGAAGCAATTTTTACACTGTTAACTTTACTGAATTCACGTCTCGTTGTATACTACCTTTCTTAGTTGAACTAAGTCCGTAGCCAAGCGGTTCGGCGTGGGTGATCGCTGTCTATTTATCTGTTTGTGTATGCTAATCTCGAAACCGGCTTAACCTATTTTGGTATGGTTTTCAGTATATTATTGGAATAGCTTCACTTACCATTCGGTGTTTGATTTATTCAAATCGATTCATAAATGAAAAAGTCAATTCAAAGATTCACGTGAAACAGTTGCTGGAAAAATACTATAAAAATTATGTTCAATTGAATTGGCTGAAACGTCGGTAAACTATAGTTATAGTTTATAATGAAAAATGTCAATGAAATCGAAAAGAATACGCGTTGTACTGGTGATGTGATGTATCTAGCCGCTTCATGTCAGTCGACCATTGTTGAAAAATACGACTTTGGCCATTTACATACTTTGTTCATACATTCGAACACTGTACTTTCTTTTCGTGGGTTGGGCTACCTATCGGGCGCGTCTCCAGGTGGCGGATAGAGGAACGGCCAGGGGACTGGAGGCCCTGTCCGGGAAGTCAATGTGACCTTACGGACAGGGTCGCCGGACTCCTGGTCAGTCGCAGAAATAAGTAGGGTGAGGGGAACTACCCAAGCTGAGGTGTAAGGAATCGTGCCGACAGCCGATTGGCCGCAGGGTGATATGCGGTTACGAACGATCCCCTTGGGGAATTGGGCGAAACCCCATTGTAATCAGCCTACCTCTGGTAATGCGGGGCTCTTCCAGAGGTGACCAACTCTTCCATTGCTTTTCGTGGGAACACACAAGAATGAAACAATAACAGAAAAAACAAAAACAAAAACCAATCCCGAGGCTGCACAGAAGTGCTCAACTCAATCTATAAGGCAGTGGCTGGGGATGAATAGAAACGTCCATCTTAATCTACCGCTTGGAATGAGGTTGGACATAGCAGATCACCATACAAAGGCCAAGGCGTGAGGCCAAAAGCAGAAAGAGTGGCAGGCAACTATAAGTGCACCATCCTCCTCCCCTACTCCACCTCCAACAGCAAAGGCACTCCTTACGGCGGGCGTCAAGGGCTCCGCCTTGAATAAAAGCAAGGAACCGGCTGCCCCTGCAGGAAAGCTCCCTCAATTTGTGCACCTCCACGGAGGGAACCCCAAGAAGGTTGAAGAAGCCGCGAAATGACAGTAATGTCGCTGCACCTTCCAAATCCTTCGCGGCGGCCATCGTGAGACACCTCAAGGTTGCCGATATAAAGGAGATGTCTCCCAGCGACCTGTGCACCTTCCTGAAAAGGACGATAGCCTAGGAGGACAACTCCTCGGGAGGATGTACAATGGGTCACATGTATCCTAAGTGTTGTGGGTCTACAATCACCCTCCCTACTCTACAGATACAGATTGTACTTTCTTACAAATGTTGTTGCTGAAATTGGTCGTTGTTCATGCAATACAATTTAGTTTATTCAGAATTGATAATTCATGTTTATATCGATGTATTCAGCGGAGAATATTTTAGGAAATAATCTTCAAGAATATTTACCACTTGACTTAAAAATTTTCTCAGATAAATGTCAATTTCTTCAAACTCGTTTTTTTTGTTTTTGAGCAATACCAATCGAGCAATCAGCAATAAATATTGGTATTGCTAACTAACAAAGTTTTCGTACACTAAAAGTTATGAAAAGATATTGAGATTTATGTAAAAAGAAAGTGAGGCAGTTCTATTGTCTACCAGAGATACTACCATTGAATTGAAATTAGAATGCAAATTAATTCATTCAAAATGTTCTGTTGCATTACTTTATATTTCGTCTGTTTTTTAGAATTCATTAAGTTATATTCAATATCTACTCTACTATATTATTTGAAATCAGTTTCTTTTCAAGGGGGGAAAATTATTCATATTGTCAATGTTTATGTGAAGAATTTCATTTTTGCGTAGCCTTAAAAATTCTTCGTGTATTAATTAGTGATGAAAGTTGTTTCTGATGGATTTGATAATGAAGTAACTGAAGCATCTGAGAGAAATCGTAGATAAACATATAAAGTTATACTTCATTTAGTTATTTATTCAGAACATGCCTTCAAAGTGAAAATTTTTGGAAAACAGCTACAACTTGCTTCATATTGTTTGCTTTCAAGCAGTTATCTTCTAATACTTCAATCGATCATTTATTTGAAGAATGTTTTCCACTAAATACAACTCAAGAGAAATTTTCAAGAGAAAGCAAAAACAATTTTCAATAATTAAATAGATTTATCAGTTTTCTCTGCGAAAAACTTATCGAAAATAATATTAAGTGATTTTTCATAATTCAGTTGTTATGATTAGGTTAGGTTAGGTCAGAAGTGAGTGGGTCTATTTGACCCTACACCGCAACCCGCAAGGGTTTATTGTATGTGCTCACACCTATTTACACTCGACCAAATAAACCCAGCTTCTTAACGAAGCCGATTAGTTTGTATGGTGAGTGGTATGTCAGGTAAGAGTACGGCTCTGTCGAACTCTAAAAACCTGCCCCGCTGGCACAAAGTATGTGCTCTGCTGTTTCATCATTTTCCAAACAGAGGCGTCACACACTGTCTGCCGACAGTCGACAGTCCGAGTCTCCGCATATGATGATTCAAATGACAGTGACCTGTGAGAAGGCCTGACATCGTAGTTCATCCCTACTGTAGTCCAACAACTGTTTGGTATCAAGCTACGAAGGGTGAATAAACGCCTTGGAGTGAGCCAATCCTGGAAGATTTTGCCAGAAGTCCATAAATCTTCTTATCATCCAGGTGTTCAATGTTTTTGTGACAAAGCCTAAAGCGATGCCAATGACAGGTTCTGGTCCGATGAAGCTGCTTGCAACACCCTCCTTTGTAAGGGAGTCAGAAGCCTCATTGCCTTCCAGGACAGTATAGCCAGGAATCCAGACCAGAGACAATCTGTTAAGTCTTCCTATTGAAGTCCTCTTATTGTGAAGAGTCGTGTTTGGTAATTTGCTACCAATTTAGACGTTGCTCGGTAGGAGCCAAGAGCTTCCAATGCCACTTGACTGTCCGAGAATATTTTAATTGACTCGTGTGTGACTCGCTCCTGGCGAGACGAATATCGTCAGAAAAGAGGAGGAAAAACGGATAAAATATCGTGATTTTCTCTTCGAACTCCGCTGACTCTATCCAGATCACTCTGTCAAGATGGTTGTTCTGATTATTGGAGTCCTTGGTGGAATGATGTCCTCTCTACTCTCGAATCTCAAAATCATACCGGCTTGCCGCACTAAGGCAGAAATCTTAGCCGCACAGATGCAGAAGGCTGTCATTTTTGGCTCACTGCGTTTGCTCAGTACACATGATTCTTGGACCCAATGATCACTTACTCCACTGTGTGGGGAGTGGTCATTGGTTGATAATGCTGGCGCGCCCTCACGAATGTATCGGGGCTTCAGGGGATAGAGCCTGACCAGCGCACAATACGGATAATAATAATAAAATGCTTCTATTGAAAGGTTCATGTACTGAGTAACCTGTTTAAATTTTTTAATAATTTATGTTAAAATTACATACATCAGCAGAAAGTACTTTTTAATGAATGTATTGATTGTATGCTGCTCGAACTGCGAAAATTTGAATGAAGTGCGATACAAACGTTTCATAGCATTAACCTCAAATAAGGTTTCAGAGATTTACCGGTACACAACAGGAATTCAAATGAATTGTTGTTAGACTATTTGCAAACAAAGTCGTATATTCCTTATCCAGTACATGCCTGCTGCTTTTATCATACAAGATTAATCTATCGATTTGGTATATATCTGAAAATACTACAGGTACAACCCAGTTTGTTACCTCCGATAGTGTATATAGCAAAACTTGAATAAAATAATAATGAAATATAGAGTTTATTTGTGAGTTCAACATTACATTTCGAAGAATGGGGTTTTTAAAAAATAACTATTTGAAATGACATAACTTTCAACTGTTTCTTTAGAAGCTATTAAATAACTGGTTGAAATTTCTCTACCATTATTATATCCATCAAAACCACTTCAACATCCGTGTCATTGTTATTATGTGAAGATCTGTGTACTCTAGTAAATAAATAATATACGAATTATTAAAAAAAACAGGCGAAACTGAATTTTATATAAATATTATAAACATTATTAAAACAATATAAATAATTATGTCCCCCGCTCCAAAAGGTTTATGACTTCAGATACTTCAAAAAAAACATAAAAATCATAGCCGTTTCTAAGGTTTTCGGACATTCGTCGACACCAATATAATTATCTATCATTTTTTAGTTGCATCAGATGCACTCAGTCAGATATTTTCGACACTTTTAGTTGCTTCTTTCTTCCCAATCAATCCAGCTCTTCTGTAAGGAAACGGGTAATCGTAGTTGTCCAAGTTGGCCAATCCAAAAATAGCGCTATTGATGCCTTAAACAAATTCAAATCGATGAGAAATTTAAACCAATATATACCATATCTATTCAAAATAACTACATAAACCTATGGTGTGAAAGGAATTTGAAATTTCTCAAGAATTATTTATCAGATGGAGAACAAAATTTGAAATGCCTAGTACCACAAAAATCCGTGTTAGGCCCTCACAAAAAAACAAACACGTGTTTGTGGCTCCTTGTTCTTCACCAGCGTAGTGTATAGATGAGCTATACCTGTTGGCAATAACACATACACAAGTCATCAACAAGAACCAACAGCACATCTATAGTTTCAGTTAGTAGTCGGCATTCCTGTGAAATAACTAACATGTCCACGTAGGTAGACCATAGCATATATGCATGACATCAGGGTCGAAAACGTAAAATTTTCACAACACATAATGCAATTATTTTATGACACTTGAACAGTTTATAATGAAATAGATTAAAAGATGTTAGGTTCGGTTAGGTTCAACCCTCCACTGCAACCCGCAAGGGTTTATTGTGGCTCAGACCAAATAAACCCAACATTTTAACGAAGCCGATTTGTTTGTATGATTAGTGGTCTTTCAGGTCAGATGGTGAGAGTACGGCTCTGTCGAACTCTAAAAACCTGATTAGGTCTCCAGCGGGGCAGGCACAAAGTATGTGCTCTGCTGTTTCATCATTTTCCAATCAGAGGCGACACACACTGTTTTCCGACAGTCCGAGTCTCTGCATATGATGATTCAAATGACAATGACCTGTAAGAAAGCCTGTTAGACATCGTAGTTCATCCCTACTGTAGTTCAACAACTGTTTGGTATAAAGCTTCGAAGGGTAAATAAACGCCTTGGTGTGAGCCAATCCTGGAAGATTCTGCCAGGAGTATATAAATCTTCTTGCCATCCAGGTGTTCAATGTTTTTGTGACAAAGCCTAAAGCGATACCAATGACAGGTTCTGGTCCGATGAAGGTGCTTTCAGCACACTGCTTCGCAAGCAAGTCAGCAGCGTCATTGCCTTCCAGGCCCGTATGGCCAGGAATCCAGACCAGAGACAATCTGTTAAGTCTCCCTATCGAGGAGAGTCGTTTTTGGCAAATACTGGTGTTTTATATTTTTCTCGAATCTATCTTTTTGTAAACGTCTTACACACGGATAGACAGTATTATCTTATAAAACGCATTCTATTATAGCTGTTTGGTCCTGATAAAATCTGATGAGATACTTAAAAAAATATACAAAGGAACTTCCATGGGTAGGTACTAGTGTTTTTGGAGAATCTTCAACCTGATTTACTTACAAATAAGAGACAAGAACCTATATATACACTAGTTTTCTCTGAAGAAGTAAATGCTACAATAGTTATAATATAGGTACCTATAGTAAAGTTTATAACTTGAAACCAATAGAAAAAATCACTATTGCAATAGCGGAAAGGAAAATTGCCAGGGAGTCTTTTGAGAAAAGACATTTTTGGGGGTTCCGAGGTCTCCGTGAGAGTAAAATTGAACCCACAAAGTTATTACATGAATAAAATTCGGAAAGATAAAATATATTCGAAAGTGGAAATAACTTCGAATGTTGTAGTGAAAGATAAATGCCAAATCTCTTTCGACGATCGATGTCGACCGCCTTGAGGAGCCTCATTCATCTTTGATATTTGAGGATGGAGTCTTCTGTTGATTCGACAGATGGCGTCTTCTTAGGGGAAGATGTCATCGCCTTCACTTTCAGTTCATTGGTTCAGCCTATCACCACTGATGATACCTGGTGAGTTGAAACGAAGCTGCGGATCACAAGTTTATTAATCTTATTCTTGATTACAATAATGCTTTAAAAAATGTTGAAAAAATTATTTCCAAAAAACATTTAATTGTTTTTGTGCCAGAATTATTTATTAAGGAAGCATTTTCCATCATTAATTATAACGTTTTTCATATTTTTGAAAAATATTCACGTGTCATTCGTTCATACAATAAACAGTTGACGAAAACAAGTCAGTATATGCACNGTGCAAATATTACAAGAAAAATTCTTTGTGATTTTGGATAAAATCTGTCTTCTATCTATCTATACTTAAATGGGAAAGTCACTCACTTAACACTCACTCTTTCATCTCTGTTTGTCCATACTGGAAAGTCCTAAGAAGCCAAAATTTGGTATATAGATGCTTCTTAGATCTTAGATGCGCACTAAAGTAGGATTTTCGAATATTCCAACTTGAGAGTTTTCACAACCTGCGCGTTTCCTAAATTACTTATATCAAAAATTTTAAAGCTCCTACATTTGATAAGTTTCACATTGTATACCTATGTATTGCTACATACAACTCGTCCAATGTAGGACGAGCTTTTTATATTTCAACATTATCCAGGAAGCGTGCAGGCTGTGGAAGTTCTCAATTCTCAAGATTCAACGAGCTGTACTCAAAGGATTCAGATATAGGGGAGCGTTTCCATTACAATAAATACTAGTATACGGTTTTCCAACAGGGATTTTCGAACTTTGATAACTGACATTTGTCAAATTAGTTGTCATTTATTCAGTCTGTTTTGACAAATTACCACAGACGGATATAGCATTCAACAACACGTGCAAATGATAAAATTGCTTTATCAAAATGGGTGTTCTGTTCGGGCAACTTATCGCGCGCTTCGTCCATTTTACGGTCGCCATAATCATCCTACCGAGAGGATATTCGCAATATGGTATTACATTTGAGCCCACTGATTCGTTAAACGATCAACCAACACCCGTACGTCGACGAATAGCAAGATCTGCCGAAAACACCGCCGCTGTCTGTGAAAGTGTGCAGAAGAATCCTAGACAGTTGATTTCGCGTCGATCACAAGCACTCGGTCTTCCGCACTTGAACCTGCACCCGTACAAAAATTAACTGACCCAGGAACTGAAGATTGAACGACCATATAGACAACGATGAGTATTCGCTGAATGGGTTCTGGAGCAGTTGGCAACTGACCCTAATTCTCATCAGAAAATCATCTCCAGCGATGAGGATATACCTACACGGTAGGTTGAATGGACTGACGCTTATCAGAAAACAACTACTCCACTGGCTAATACCACGAACGGCGTTGGCCTGAATATTGGATGATCCGGACACCAACGATATGAGGTGTCAACAGGACAGCGCTACGTGCCACACAGCTCATGCCACATTGGACATTGTGCACGAGCGATTTGAGGTCGTAGTCATCTCAGATGGAGGTGATGAGAACTAGCCACCGAGATCGTACGATTTGACCCCATTAGACTTTTTCTTGTGGGGTTTGCTTGAGTCGCAGGTGTATGCGAATAAGCTACAAATCGCAGTGGTCCTCAAAGCCAACATAACCCATGCCATCGGTCAAATTCTGCCTGATAGATGCGCCAGAGTCATAGCAAATTGGACGTTTCGGATGCGCTCCACCCAGAGAAGCCGTGGCATTCGAACGATGTTATATTCCATACATAATGGCATCAATGAGTCTTTCAAACGACTAAAAAATTTCGATGGTATCTCACACACATTTTGTTTTATTTAAATTTAAAGATAGGATGCGCTTAATGAAATATCCTATACTATAATAATTATTGAACAAAACCACACACACCTGATAGAAAATAATTTCCATTCTGCTGGAGGCCGTTCAGCAACTGAAGTGGTCTGAAGAGGGGAATGGTTATATGTGGACTATTTGGATGATTCACATAATCTTTGAATCGCTGTAGTTTCTCTTGGAGCGGTTTCACTATAGGAGATATGTTCTGTAGTATACTGAGAGCATGGTGTCCCAAAATCTTGTGTTTCAGATTTGAAATTTGTAAAAAGTTACTTGCAGGATCCGGTGATAAAGTTTCACCTAAATTTATGTCGTCAGCTTGTACAGTACCCTCTGGAATCGCGGTGCTGTTGCCATCAGAAATTATGAATATTCGAGTCTTGTTCATTTCTGGGTCATCTTCAACGTCCGTAGTCGTGGGGACGGGGGCATCATCACCATTCACAAAGGACACCTGAAGAAACGAACATTATAAAAAATATGAAAAATTTGAATATTGCCAACTATTTATTATCTAGTCCTTGTTGAAAATTTAATTTATTCCTTCGAGTCAGGGCCGGATTTAGGGGAGGGTCGACGGGGCTACTGCCCTAAGGCCTCCATAATAAAGATACAAAAATATCAAAATTTTGACGATTTAGCAACTTTGACGTTTTTCCTCCCAAACATTTTTTTTTGCATTATTACTAAGAATACTTGCGTAAATATAATAATATTGTTATCGATATATAAATTTATTAATTCCAAAAGTTCATCGATGTATATTTGTTGATCTTTCGAAAGCTTCAGATACTATTTGTCATGGAGGGCTAATATGGGTACATTCAGAGATGATACTTTCATATATCGACTTCTTTGAGCAAATCATGTTCTATATTCATCAAAGTGATATGATTAGGACGTTCTTTGTCCATCGTGTTTCAACTTAACGTTGAAAAATAATGTTCGCCACTGCAGTTAGTGATCATGAGAGACAAGTAAATACGAAAGACAGCTTCTAAGTTTGAAAAATACTATTCAAAGAAATTATTTGATGAAAGTTTATAAAATGTTGTGGAATTGGCCGCGGTGATAGTGCGCCCGACTCACGATCGGAAGGTCGTGGGTCGTGGGTTTAAACAGATTTTTAAACAGAAAATTGCAGTTCCAGAAGCTTTTGTTTCTTGTTGTCAATAACAGTAGCCACATCTGTTTTTAGCAGTTCAGCGAACTGCACTAATTCGTCGCCTAGGTTGTTCTCCAAATAGTATTCGTGAGCACTGACCATACTTGAGGCGTTTTCCAAAATCTCTTCTGTTGTAAGGGATTTTAGCTGTCGAAATACTCCAAAAGCACCAGAAATTTTATGATATGCTTCCATACGTTCAGATAAAGCAGACAGTTGTTATCAATGATGACAATAAACACATGAATTTCAAAACGTTGTCCAGGTGTTTCATTTTCAACAAAGTCGGCGACTGGAGTAGAGCCTGTGAAATGGTCGTACTTTGTATTCCGCTTGCATCGTCTTGCTGATATTCTTCAGAAGCCGGTCAGATCTTTAGCTTTTGCCTCAATATCTGGAAATATGGATCGCATTGCTTGGACGTAGCTAGTACTCGAAGCAATGTCAAAACAAATTTTATCAACAATGGCTCACATCTACTGTGATTTCAAAAGTTCTTTTGTGTTGTGCCAAACGTAAATGTACAGCATTTCATTATTGTTTGATAGTCGATAGAATCCTATTTCATTTGATAGGGTTGTTACGACTAGCTCGTTCGAAGACAATATCAGGGAATTCCCCTGTTAGTTTTGCAATGCTGCCAACTTGCGTGTAGCGCAGTGGCGATATTTTTGTATATTTTATGTGAAACTGTGGTTACAGTCAATAGAAAAGACGAGCGGTCTGTATAGATTCTGTGGCGTTCGAAAAAGAGATCCCGAGAAGATTTATAAAGAACCCGAGGAGACTATTTGAACATATATGATCGTTCATTCTCTCGTTCAGAAATAGTAAAGAATATACCTAATCACAGTTTTGAATGAAAATGAAGATTTTAAAGAATTAAACTTCTTTTTATTCAAATACTTACCTATTTGCCATTGGTTTTTATTTCGTGAGATAGTTCTTTGTCATTGTCGTTATATGTAATGTAAGTATGTGAAGTGTTAGTTTGAGATTTGATAATTTCATTGTAATGACTTAACAGATCATTTTGAATTTTCAGGAACATGATGTGTATATATCTAAATTTTCAAGAATATATTCATTTTTGGAAAAAGTAGCGAATATAAAAGCCAACACTGAGAAAATCCATATTTCCATATTTCCAAATGAATGTAATCTTCAGAGATTCAAATCCAATGTGAATCGCTACTTTCGTACTTTCCTGTAATGCTTATGTTTTGTCCTTTGAAAAACATATGAAATGTCAATCTCTTACAGTTTATCCTATACAATACACCAATCAAATCCATCGGAAAACAATTACTTTCCTGTCTCCCTCACAAACTTTGGCGGTTTCATTTATAAATTCTTTCACTTGGGAAGGAGTGTTTTATTTGACTCCAAAGAAATTCACAATTCACTCTCTTATACGCAGTATACATTTTATACTATTATTACTCGAATGCGAAACAGTAAAAAATTTATTATTTTGACATGTATAGGTACACAACATCTAACACAAATACAGTACACATCCTCTACGAGCGTATCACAAATTAAATTATCGTCATCAGGAGGTCCAATGAACTTATTCCCTAATTTTAACTTCGCCTATTTGTATTTCCAGAGAAAGTTATATTATAATTCATCTCCAGCTAACGTCAACTCAATTGGTGAAACGCAAGTACCAAATACTCGTTAATGTTATAGGCTTATCTGGAAAGCAAAAAAAATATTCAAAGGCGATTGAATAATATGAACAATTTTTACATGATCGACGTAACCTGGACCAACGATATTTTTCGAGAGTATAACAAAAATTTCGAAGTAATAAAAGAATTTTTACTTGAACATGTGAAGCAAAATTTAGTCAGCCAGGCTATGGAAATTACTATGAGAACTTTATACAAGACCTTGTTAAGGTTTCCAGTCTATCTTATGGTACAGTGCGCAGAATTCTCAAAACATTCGTTTCTTATAAATATCGATCAAGAATGGCGTCACTTGATTTTTTTGGTTCTTACATCTCAATGATTATAAAAAACGTCACTGTGGTTTGAAAAATTGAACCAATTCGTATTTCTAACCATAACAAAAGTATTAATGGTGTACATGTAATTTGGATCAGCTTTATTTTATATTTAAAATATATTCTATAGGTACCTATACCTATAAAATATTTTCAAAGAAGGATTAAAAATAATTCATTGAAAAATTATTGAACATGTATCAAAACATTTGAGCAATGTGTGGCTTTCTACTGCTACATCTCCTCCTCTTTCAATTCCGAGGTTTATATTTCAATAATATATGCAAATATAATTTTTAAATGAATATTCAAAATATATTTTTCGAATGGAAAAATCAATATAGTACACTAGCGACTTTACCGTCGTAAACACCAAATGATTATTGACAAATTTTTGACATCTGGGATTCGATTCTCGACAGTTCTTACCAAGGGATTCAAGACTATTCTTCATCAAAGTTTGGAATCCATGGAAATGATATAACACACTTGCCTATATCAATGTGATTCGAAATATTTCTAAACGTTTTACCACGTATATTACTATACTTGTCAATAGCACCACCACCGTAGCACAGTCGTTTATGTATTTGATTGACTTTAGTTTCTAATCGAAAAATGCCAGGATTGTTTTTAAAATTCCGTAGTGTTACGAACAAATGCGATCTCATCTTTGAATTGACTAACGATAAGTGACTTCAAATGACGAAGAACACCAACAAACTTTAGGCCCTAAATTTCGACAATTTACATTGTGAATCTATTTACATAATGTCGAAAATTGAGCTCTTTGAGATACATTGTTAAAGTTTATCCCAAATCTCCAGTTATTCGCTGATATGATAGGTTTCTGTTGTAAGTAGTCGCTAAAAACCAACTCAACCTGACAGTTTGTTTCATGATATTGACGATTGACATAAGAGAAAGTAATGGCAGTTATTAAATATATATGTAGTGTGTGCTCTATGGGAAACCTGACAGTTTCTATAGATGAAATAATTTTTTGATACCGGTTGAGTACTTTACCTAATTTTCTGTCAATGATTAGGTTTATTTCAACCGAACTCAGGATAGTAACTAGAACTATTTATATTAAAGAAAGGTCAAGAGTAATATTGACGGTATAACAATTTTAACAAGCATGTCAAAAAAATATTCAGTTTCGTGTTCCGTCAATAATCCATTGTCAATTCCACTGTCAACAACGTGGACCAATCAGAACAATCCAGTAAAAGTACGCATCAATCAATAATGATAATTCGCAAACAACTTTTCTTATTTTATATTTGATATTTTTTTCATCAAGAGCAAACTACTAGTGCTATATTGGAAATTATAATAATATCTATACGCGTTTCTAAGCTATTTCTTTTCTCTAGAGGCAATTCCTGAAGGATATCAACTGCGAACGACGCTAAAAACTACCTGGTAAAGTGGCAACCGCGCTTAACGAATTGACAAGTTGTCAAGTCGTCAGTTGCCAGCATGGCTGACCGAAAACAAACTAGGGAAATATGTAAAGTATTTATTTTATGTATATTATGGTATGCAGTGAGTTCTACTAATAATGTCATCGGTAAAACTGTACTCAATGAATTTCCTTACCCCCTAACGATGACAATGGTCCAGTTACTATCTATAACAGTTTTAAGTGGACCATTTTTCAATCTGTGGGGTGTTAGGAAATATGTAGATATTCCTTGGAATTACTACTGTAGGTTAATTATTCCATTGGCATTTGGAAAATTCGTAGCCTCAGTTTTTTCACATGTAAGCATATGGAAGGTTCCAGTTTCATACGCTCACACAGGTCAGTACAAGGATTTTCACTTTCACTTTTTAGGTTATAAAATGAGAAATTTTGGTATCTTCCCCTAGCATATACCTGCAAATATATTGATTTTATTTCGGTGGTGAATCAGCTTTATCACAGCCTCTTCTATGAACTGATTGCATGTACTTATCATTGGTGTTTCTGCCTATTCTGACAGCTGTTTGGTATAGATACATTCAGGTCTTAGTAGGGTAATAAATTTATTCTAATTACATATTTAGGAAAATCAAGAGAAGTGTCAAATAGCCATTTGCAAGAGCCTTGTAACACAAGTCCTGAGGTAGTGTAGTACCTAGTATTAGTACTTAGCGTAAATTAATCTTTTGATACTTGAATAAATATAGTTTTGAATAAGGTTGAATCTGCATTTCTAATCTAGCACATTAAACGAAAATTCAAAAGAAATGAAATGGAAATAAGATAACACAAATTCAAATTGATAAAGCTGGTGAAGGTGAATACAAAATGTGAAATCATGGTGAAACCTCCATATGTTATCTAAATTAAAGCCAATGTGCATATCATCTAATTAACAATGTTAGCTGAAAATCATGGGAAAGGTCAAACAGTGAAATTATCAATATCTAAAATTGTATATTAAAAGAAAGGTAATCCACATGTTTTTAGAACATTTCTTCAGAATTATTTATTTTTGTTTTCTCAAACACTGAGATACATATACTGTGTGAATATAAAAAAAATGGTTAATTTCTCCTGAGTTTGTGCTCAAAAACGCCATCCTTCCCTTCAGTACATTTTTGTAGTGTTGTAGACTTCCCAGCAAGGTCCTGTCGTCGACAGCTGATGATTTTTTTATTTTCTGTCATCAGTCTTCAGCATAGCTTTCATTATGAATTTTACATTTCAAATAACCTCACGTTGAGTTTCTACTTATTTATTATTTAACAATACCACCAGAAACTGTTACGTCCCTCTACGATTACGAGCAGGTGCTCCAAACTACTGTAAAACAAGTTGTGTCCATTTATCAGATGAAATTCATCTAAGAAGTTGTTCAGAGTGGTAGTCATAAACCTCACAGATCTTGCACTATTAAAAGAACCACCTCAAAAAAACTAACTATAACTACACAAATAATTCTTGATGGAATTATTTCTGAGCAGCATCGCAGGTTTATTCCTTATACAGGCCAGAATTGGAAAATTTTATTATTACTATTATATATTATACTTTGCCCTTCTTAACAGTTATCTTTACCATAAGATAGATTGAAATCTTCTACACGGTCCTGTATTGAACTTTTATGCTAGGCATCAAAATAGCCTANTGTAATGAATTTTAACTTTTCAGACTCATCATAATTACAGAGTTTGTGCTCTCCTGTTGGCTGATGGTGTACTTAATTGGTTTCAAAATATAATAGCTTTTAGTGTTCTCTCATTGGTGACACCATTAACTTATGCTGTTGCTAATGCTAGCAAAAGAATATTTGTGATTGGTGTCTCATTATTTATTTTGGGAAATCCTGTTACTGGCACTAATATTTTTGGTATGGTTCTTGCTATAGCTGGGGTCCTATGCTATAATAAGGTAAGTTTATTTCAAGTACATTTAAATAGGTTTTCATGTTTTCAACACCTGATTTCTGTATTTAATTGGTTCATTCAAAGCTAAAACTTACTGCCTATCAGAACTAACTAAGAGGGAGTCACCTGAAATGTGGCCTGATTGTTCAGTTATCACCACTGAAAGTAATACTGAAAAACTGAGTATAGAGTGTGTTATCGTCAAAACAAGCCACTCTGAATAAGTCATTTGATACCGATATCGTCTCACCATCATTTGAATGAAGATAAAGATTGCCTGTTCTATACCATAATTCCAAAATAATAGGCACTAAATTCTCCGAAATGACTGTGACGTTTTTGCCTTAATCTGTCTCTGCAGTGGAGTACGGGAATATGAAGATATGAGGAAAAATGATGATAAAATATATAGAATCAGAACCTTGACAGCAATGTTTTCCTTTTAATTCAATGCTATTTCTGAGAATTTAGTGCCTACTTTTATGGAAATGTGCTTTTATAGAAAGGAAAATATTGCATCATTTGATGTTCTGAACTGAAACTGATGAGAATGAGTCATGTGATGCATTCAAGAAAGTTCAGCATTCTTTTTTTTTCGTCAATTTTTTTACAAGTTCAGATGAAGTTGTCTTGTAATGGATTATTATATTGAAGTTTTTGAAAATATTAAAAATTCACCATACTATTACAAAACGATAACTTGATGCAGACCTTTTCCAAAAAGATGCACTCATCATGTACATACATGAGCTGACTTTTACTTCAGTTGACAGGACAATACTGTCAATCTGCTCGAATATAATTTTATGGAAATTAAAAGATAAATAGATGTTTTTAACAGAGAAAGTCAAACTTTCATTATTATCATTATCCTACAATGCGTATAGGGGCACACGAGTATGATTTGTCAATAACACATTCAAAAAATACACTTTAATGTGAGATTTTCACTTGAAGCCTGAAGATGCTATTATATAGCGAAACATGTGTCGCGGTTTTATAAACTTTCAAGTGGAAATCTCACATTGAAGTGCATTTCTTGGAAAATTCATAATGGAATTTCAAGTATCAGTTAGTTCCCATCACACCATTAATAACAGTTGATTTTATCTTGTAATCGTTCAGTTTCTTTCAAAATTTGCCATGGAAATAGTATCTTTTATTATTCATATCTTTTTAGATTCACTTCCTATTTGTATTTAATTTCTCTTCTACATCTCAATATTTTCAATCTTGTTGGATGATGCAAGTCTTAACCTCTTTCATTTGAATTTAGTTGTCAATTCATTTTCAAAAACCGTAATTTTCTGATGGAACAATATTTTCAGGCAAAATATGATCAAAAGCAGGCAGAAAACAAACAAACAGTGTTACCTTACACTCGTGAAACTTGGCGAGAGAGAAACAATATAATTTACCCGTTGAGCAATGGAATGTCTAATGGAAATGCAGTTGGAAAATCTTATCCGTATACTAATGGAACAGTATCAGGTCGCTCACATAATGAAAAATTAGATTTTACTCCGATACGTAATAAAGGAAATCTGTTGTTTGTTTGAAAATTTCCATATATTTTTACTGTTTCCTGTACTGAAGCAATTTGTTGGGATGATCTGTTGATTGATATTTTGAAATTATCTTTACTGTCTTATATCTAATCCTCTTTAAGATTTTAGTGCTATGAGGTACGTTTGACCAAAATCTCTTTCAGTACAAATTACAAAAATATTGAGTTTCATAAGAGATGTTCAAAAGTAATCGGGATAAAAGTAATGAAAGCATTCTAAATGGTTGTCAGATTTCCGAAAATTCAGAAATCGGGCAAGAGTTTTTCAGCGGTCATATATTTTTGATTGATTAATAACTAGTCTATTTGGTGTCGATAGAGAGTAATAANGTAGAAACTAGACAAAAGTATTTTCTTTATTCTATATACATTCCTACCTTAATCTTTTGTGTAACTCGTTCTTTTAAACAATAATTTTCATACAACTATTATTTGAATTGAAAGGGGTATATTTATAAGAGAGATTCATTTTTAAGAAAGAAAGGTACCTATTGGTTTCTACTTCTCCATCTTCATACAAAAAAACAACTACTTTCATATGAGCATTGAAATATACAAAAAAATATTTGTGAAATATAGTTTGAGTTGGTTGCTCTAATGAAATGTATACAACAAAATTGGACTTTGATTAAATTTATTAAATTTTCTCAATGGGTTTATAACCTTCATTTTCAACTCGTGTCAGAAGAAATAAGAACTATCACCGTTTGAGGTGGGATTTTTATAGTGAGTACAGGTTTCGAAAACGGAAAAGGATTATTTTTCGAAACGTTAACCACTTAAGTAATCTCTAAGTATCCATATTTAATTTTTACATTAAATTTTTTTCAATATGTAGGCAAAATTGATGAATATAAGTTACTGACTAATCGGATTTTCCAGTAGTTTATATGACGCAGTAACTTTTTGGGGTGAACTTTTCACTTGTGATGCACTGTTTGGAACCTTTGGTGTAGTAATGAATATTACTGGGGTTTTCCCAACACCAAATCGTTTTTAACACCTCGACACGTGTTTCCATCACCAAGTGATCATCTCCAAAGAGTAAGATTAAACTAGTAAATAACGCGAAGCTAACTCTATTTATGCTAATAGTATCCCCTACAGGTAAACCATCCAGGTGTACCACCCATATAGGAATACAAACCTAAATTAATTTTACAATTTTGCCTTATCTATTATTTTACAGTATATGTTCAACTGTTATAGCTGTATATAAAACAATTGAAGCGAATATAATAAGTCCTGTAGCAACTTGCGAAAAAGCATCAAATAATGAAAGTTGAAAGTTGTTAATGAAACTTTTTGACAGAAATTCAAACAACTATTCAGTATTTGAGAGATGTGCTTACACATTCGATTCAAATCATCAAAAATTTCAGATATCGACCTGTAGGTACCTTCTAGTAAAATAATAATTCTTCTGAGTTTGTCAGAATCCATTGAATTCAAAATAAAAATATTTAGAGGAAACAAACCCTTGAAAAAGGGCCCTGAGATCTTACTGGTGTGAATGTTCAAAATTTTCTTTGTTTTAAGAAATAGTTCACCTACCAAACTCACTAGCAACGCACAAATGATATTCTTCATGAACATACTTGATCGTATAACTTGTTGCACTGGCCCTTCGCAAAATTTATATTCATAATTTATATTTTAGTTCACCAAGGTACCCACATAAAAAACTTTTGAATACATTTTCGCATTAACTTTCGCTGGTAAATATTTTATTTTAAAAACGGAGAATCAAAATGTCAATAGGAAAACCTGGGGACTTATCCTTGACTAGGTGAATTTTACAATACATTCTCGACCTTTGCAGGGAGAAAAGGTGTTTACATAATATAGTATACCATATGCTTTACCTGTCACATTTGGGTGCATTTATTCACGGGAGTTTCCTTCAAACACTTATTTCAGAGTATGCCTTAGCGTGTTTAAATTCAACTCCTAAAAATGTGTATCAAAGTTACCATGGCAACATAAACAACCTGACAAAATTGAAGTCTAATTGTCAAATTTCTAATTGACATTGGTATATATTATTAAAAAAATGTTTCAAAAGTGTTATTCCAATATTTAACAATCTCGATTTTTCAAATGAAGTTTCAAAAAACAGTTAGAATCATTTGAATTATCAATACTTGTTGAAATTGGTCTACTGGAATGTCACTATTTGTCGTAAGAGTAGCAGACGTACTTCTGAACACTTATCCCATTTATTTCTGTAGGTCATCCAATTTGAGATAACGATGAAGTACTTATATTTTAGAGGTGCAATGATCAATGCATCTTCACGATATGTACATAATTCATTGCATCACTGTTTGAATCAGTAAAATGTCGACCCTTCACTGTCTGAGATTGTCAAAAAAGTAATAAGCAATATGCTTCCTTCTGTCTTGATGTTTATATGAATCGCAAAATTCATATCTTCTGCAAGAGCCACAGATACCGCAAATGGCTACCACCTCCAAAAAAATACGTAATGCCCTATGCATCTATATAAAAGTTTCACAAATAGTCTTCTTTTCTTCTTGACTACGCCATTCTTGCTAATTGCTATACCGCAACATGTATCTCACTATTATGCAGTAAGACGCTTGTTGCGGTTTTATAAACTGTTCAATGAAAATACATACATACATAAATACATAAATATTATTTATTTAGCCATTTTTAAGTCACATATGTTTTTGCCGTACATGATCTGTTTTAATATTTACCATTTATATCTTATTTTAAAATTGTCGTAAGTTCAGAGCACTAATATAGAAACATGACAGTCATTTTTCGCGTAGACAGGCCGCCATATTTTCGGGACAAATTTCTTATTGTTTGAAGCAAACAAACGACGTAGGACAAACCGTTTTGGGAATTATGACCACAGAAGAAGTTGATTCGATATTTTCAATCTATTCACTTCTCTGAATCCCACCTGGCTCTTCGATATCGACGCCTTGTTTTGTTCACACAAAATGGCGAAGGTCAACGATACCGGCTATTTTAGATCTCGCTTCTCCCCGGCCTGCCGTAATGATATGCCAATTCAAAAATGTCCTGATTTGGAAGTTTGGGGGTTCTGGGTTGATATCCAAGTAAAAGAAAATTTTAGTTCGAGTGATTTCGTCAAATGATTTTTAAAATTTTGAGCTCTTAGAAGCGAGAAGTTTTAAGGATGACCTGCAGGGTTAACCATTTTTCGAAGTCTTTGTAATTGTGTTCTGGCTAGCTGAAAATGACTTCTTTGAAACTGTGTCTTGAAGGTCCTGGAAAATAAAATCAGAATTAGACTACTAGTGTAAATATAGTTCGAGGTTTGCAGTAAATTTTGCTTTGAGCTAACCAAGTGGATACCAACATATGACTAATACTAATTCCACACAACTAAATTACAGTAACTTATATTCATCTGGACAAATCTGTGAGGAGAAATTCACATTTCAGTTACCTGCAGAATTTTTACACATTGGGGTCGCACTTGGGGCACTGACGAACCCAAAAGTGACATTGAGACTGGTTTGCGGTCTGGGAATGCTGTGAAGAACCGAGGAAACTGCGACCAGGAATTTAATGACTCTATACAGGGTGCCCAATTATTCGGGTATCACAGACAATAAAGAAGCTGATTGTGCCAGACCCTGAAGCAGTTGTGGGTACCTAAATCTTTGGTACAGAACCAGATTCGGCACTGAGTCTATGGGAAAAGTTACGTGGAAAACGTACCCGGAAACACAAATAAGAAAACTTTCATATAGGAGCATCTGAAGAAATGCCTAGTAAAACAGAGATCGGCTCAAAATAATTACAGGGCAACTTACTAGTCACTGTCCATTGAGAGACAACCTGAACAAAATAGGGCTGTATAATGGAGACAACTGCAGAAACGCAATAAAGGAACAAATTATAACTCGTCATGTTTTATGCAAATGGGAGGCACCCGGATCACAGGAAGCAAACAATTAATGGTCAACCCAAATTATAGTGTCGAAGCTATTATTCAGGTTTGAAGGGCGTGGTCTACAAGTTTTTATGTCTGACGTATCGTCTTCGATTGCAGTAGGCATCATTGAAAGTGATGAAGCAACGGACGAAGTGCTCGGGCTGTCCTCACAGTGAAAAGTTCTTTGAAGGCTTGAGTCCCCGGTTTTACTACATTAGAGATGGGCATAGTATCGTTTCTATATACTGAATTAAATTATGAGTGTAATTATGTCCAGAAGAATATACAAAATAGTTAGTTTTGCGGACACTTGGAAGAAATAGACAAGTAGGACGGCTCCCGAGTAACAGATACAAAAATTCTCGTACCTGAGGAATATTACTTTGTTAGCGAAACGTCCTTCGAGAAAAAGTTCGTTCTGGTATGTGCGAAAAAAGTGTTTTCATTAGGTTTATTTTACGCCAGAAGCTGCCACTTTACTCATGATGCACATTTTTGTCTGTTAATAGAAAATTTAAGAGTTGAGTTGTGAATCAGCGAGACTGGGTGCTTGTAAAAATGACATTTATTATAATTAGAGACGGACGTGTTTCTCGGAACTTTTGGAAATCCTCCCTATAAAGGCCTCTAATTTGCTATAAGAATAAATGAGCAAATCAGAAATGATGAATGACAATTTAAATATTTGATGAGATATAGTGAGTGACACTGATGGTTATAAGCTAGTAAAATCCACATATTTTGAATCGTGACGACTCCGTGGTAAAATAGGAATTTGATAACATTTTTCAAAATACAAACGTGAAATATATGTGTCTTGTTACACGGTCGAATCTGAGGTGATAATTGGTTTTTAAACAGCACTTATACTCTTTTATAGCAATTTAAAGAAATGCCTTCGTATTCATAATTGGTCTACTTTTTGAGTAATCTCTGACGGTAAATTATAAGACCTGACTAATGATACATATGCTGTGATATACTGCTGTGCATATAACTGAATTTGGCTACTAATGGTGCAAATTGCAAAATAATAATTGCACAAACAGTTGATGAACAAACATAAAATAGCACATGTTCCTATTCTTTATTTTTCATATTATTTGATAGGGGGAAGGTGGAGCCAACACACAAAATTCGGCAATTGAAATTTTTTGCGAATAACCTAGTAACGGCTATCGAAAGTCGGCCATTGGAAGTCTAGTTATTTCTGAGATAGCAAGAGGATCAGCAAAATAACGGTCTGTATATTTTAAAATTTTTGAATATCTTATGGTTTTGTGAGCTGAGAGAAAAGAAACGTGAACAATTGGCCATCACGCTTAATTAGTTCATATCTATGAAAAAANATTAATTTTTCTTTATTGTTCATGTTTTCATTAAAGATTACATTCCTTGCATGAACTATCTTTCGAAGATCTGGATTCCATAGTCTATAGCCATTATCCGTGTATGCAACCATTATCAGTTTTTCACTTCTACTCTCTAGTTTTGATATCCTATTCTCCTTTGGTATTAAATTGTAAGCATCATAATCAAACAATTCAATTGTTGAAATTACTTCTGAAAGTATTTTTGGTTTCCGTTCTTGAGATATGGGATTAAACGGTAAACGTGTCCACTTCCCCTTTAGACATATTTCACACAGTTCTGGTGGTGGATATTTACTTGAATGTCCCATTTTTCTATGCATTAACATGCGGTTGTCTGCATTAGTTAAGTGTGCGATACAGGAATCCACTTCAAATTCTAAGAAGTATAAATTTCCACTTCGCTTTCCTATTATCAAGTTGTTGTTTGATTTTATTATGGAAACCTCTTTGTTTTTGAATAAAACTTCAAAACCTGCTTCCTCCAACTTTCTTACTGACAGTAAGTTGTGTGTTAGATCTTTGCATACCCATACATTTTTCATTGTAACCTTTCTTCCAGTTTCATTTTCCAGAACCAAATATCCTTCCTTTAAAACTGTAATATTCTGTCCTTTCTTTGCTACACAAATTTGTTGATTTACTTCTTTATGATTTATCAGTTTGTCTTCATATTCCTTTTTCAACAAATGATGGGTCGCACCACTGTCTAAAACAAATTTCATTTTCATTTCTCTTGGGAAACTTGTTTTGCTTTCAGTATCTCCGGGTAAGAACGTCACGTCTTCATCATCTTCCTTATTGTCATTTCTTTCGGTTACATTTGCCTGCCTTTCATTTTTTCGTTTCATGTTTGGACAAAACCTACGCATGTGACCTACTTCATGACAAGAATGGCATCTGAAAGGAAAACTTCCTTGTTCTCTGTTACTACCTGTACCTGGTTTCCTTTTCCACTTTTTATTTTTATAGCTTGAAAACGCTACATCATTGCTTTCATTTCCAACTTGGCATTTTCGTTGTCTTTCTTCCTCCATCAGAAGTTTATTTTTGACAAAGTCTATGATTACCTTTGTCTCATCCTGGCAGAACATGATATCAATGGCTGTTGTCACTGCTTGGTAACTTTCTGGCATTGCAGACAATAGTTGACACACTATTTCATTGTCATGTATGCCTGCTCCAGTTGCTTTCAACTCACATACAACTTGGTCAAATTCTGTTAGAAATATATTCAATGTTGTTTCTTGCTTGTACTTCAAGCTTCGCAGTTTCCTTTGTAGTTGTACTTGCGTTGAATTCCCTTCTCGAAGTACGTTCCTTCAAGCGCTTCCATTATTTGTTTGGCAGATTTCTTGCTTTTGATCATATCCAGTAAGTTATCTGACATACATTGTACAATGATATTCCGAGCTTTAGTATCATTTTTCATGAAAACTGCAAGTTCATCAGCATTTGTGGGTGGTTCTTGTGTTAGAACATCTAGGACTTGTGCCTGTTCCAGCAGCAGTTTAACTCAAAATTCCCAATTCGAAAATCCGTATCCATCGAATAGTTTAACATTATAAAACTGGCTGTTACCTACTCCCGCCATTTTGTTGTTACTTATTTTTCTGACGTTTTAATAACTTGACGCCAAATTCCTCACTTTCAATTCTGGACTGGGCCCATAACCTATGGTATGGCTTCTGTTATGAAAACTGATGTTTGTGTTATTTTGGTTTTATTCAACAAACGTTCAACAAAAACCCAAACTCATTTTAATCCACGGAAGCCATCCCATAATAATTTATAGGGCATAGGTAGGTAAGTAATTTTACGACCTCAATATTTCAGCGTTAATGAATGATTTAGGTTTGAATTTAGACATTGCAGAATGGAAGTCTACTATGGAAGGTTACTAGTACTTATTTAGTAACAGTTTGTGAATAACATTATACAATGTACAACATATATGATCTCACAAATGACTCGATATCTCAGCCTTCGCGAAAGTATTGAAAACAGTTTTTTGAAAATGACGTATAGTAGCGGGATAAGTCATATGCAAAACTCAGAAGTTTATGTAAATTACAGTCCAAAAAAGGTAGATTCTTATTAATTACAAAGTTCCATAATAGAGGATAGACAACCTATCTCTTTAGGACAGCCACTTGTTTTCCGTGAAGTTACTGTTTTCTCCATAACGTACCCTGTTAGTTTGTCTGTCCAGGTGTTGAAACTGTCGAAACTGTCCGGCTTCTGAAGAAATATGTAACAATTACTTAAATGATGTACATTCAGCTTTTATACTGCAACGTAAGTAGGACACTTACAATGTATTAAAGTTTGAGGGTATTCGGCGATGATGTTTAAAACCTTTGCTACATCTGTTACCTAAAGCTGTGATTATCAAAACTTCATAGTAGCCCATCGCTTCCTATTTAAGTTGGGGCCGGCCGTGCACGGAGAAACTTTCGGCTTTCATAAAATAACGAAGGTTTGGCATTCACCGGGCTCTTGCCACATACGCGAATCAGCAAAAATCACTTTCTTGTTCTTGTTAGCATATTCTACTTTTATCGTGACCCGAAATAAACCCGTATCATCTGTCATTCGGATCTCTGCATACGTTGATCTTGATAAAGTGGTCTGTTTTCCAGTGATACATCCGTAATGTGCCTTTAAAATAATGCTTATTCTTTGGAAATGAATGACAGAAGACTGGTTGGCTTAAGAATTTCCCAGAGTCCAATCCGCTTTCTCGGGGTTTTGTAATAAACATTTTGAATTGCTTTTTTGAATAAATTTTATCATAGACTGGAAAACTAATCAGTTTCATTCAGTGAAACATCCCCTTTCTCTGCAAGAATTGGGAGTTGCCAATATTTTCGATTCCTTTGCTTTCCGTCTCCTCAAATGGTACACGGTGTCATATATTCAAGATGGTTTGGTACGTCATATCCTTCATTTCGATAATTTGCTTTAACGGTTCGTAACTTGAAGTCACGGATTGCTGACAGCCGATTACTGGCAGTGATTGCTTGATCGGCTTTTCTCTTTTACTGGATGATAAAGTTGAAATCTGTTAAAATTTGTTTTTTCATTAACCAGCTGTCGAACGACAAATCTCAGAAGTTGAAGCTCGTGCACGCTGATGATTAACGAGATCTTATCTTTCAATCTGCGATTTCTAGCACGGGGTGTCTAGCATATCTTTGTTTACGTCTTGTTTCTTGTGGAGAAATGATGGGCAATCTTGATTTATCTGAAGATTTTTCGCGACTTTCACGACTTCATTTCAAATTAATTGCATTATTTAACATTATTTAACACCCGACCGAAACGAAGTTTTTGTTTTATCTTACCTGTATAATCCGATCATAGGGCTTCAAAAGTCCAACGATATCTGCCGGGCCTCCCTTCCGGATTCTATTCACGTAAACTCCCTTTTCGTAGAGTCCGTCGCTGACGCTGAATCCATAGTCATCGTATATTGAATCTTTGTATAAAGTAACGTGATAAACTTCATTATCCAACATGCTTTCGTTGCTGTAAGTGCCAGGTAACCTGTCTATGAAACTATTTGGTGATTGTGCAAAGCTATTTTCATATTTCATTGTATTTGTGAATGTGTAGTTCGGCAAAGGTAATGGACTGGGGCAGAAAATTTCTTCGGTGTCTGAATAATACTGCAGTTGAGAGTCTCGCTTTTTTGATTTCGTTGTTGAGTCTTTGTCGTCTTGATATGAGAGTGGTTCGCTCAGGATACTTTCGATGTCTTTGATTTCTTGGATATCTGGAAACAGTAAAAAATATTTAGGATCATTGTGCTTCAAGGATTGAAACTCTACAGAGGTTTTCACTTAATTGATGAGAGAAGAGGGTGATTCGTAAGAGTGGACAATATGGGCTGTTTGTAAAAGGACCTCTGGTCAGTCGGCGTTCTTGATGGGATTCAACTGTTATGCCAAGGGGTATCCTTCAAAATTTATAAAGCATCGATTTTTGAAAAAAATTTGCTGTGAAAATATATATTTGAGTCAGCTACATAATGAGTTCTTGGTAGCTAGGCATTCATTCCGGTTGGTATTCATTTTAATTCGATATTCAGTATTCTGCAACAATCACTTTTTGACATTCATTTCGATAGTTCTTCGTTCAGTGTTATCACTACATAGTATAAAACAAAGTCGATTTCCGCTGTCTGTCCCTATGTCTGGTGCCCTATGTTGGTGCCTGAGGAAGCAGATGTCTGTCAACACCAGCAAAACTGTGTTAATCCCCTTCACCAAGAGAAGGAAATTGGACGATCCAACGCCACTTTCCCTCAATGGTGTGGTCATTCCATTTGGAACGGAGGTGAAATATCTTGGCATTGTCCTTGATAAAAGACTCACCTGGAACGCTCACTTGGAAAAAGTGTTACACAAAGCCAGACAGTCTCTACGGACAGATGGTCTCTATGGAAGAATTTGTGGTAAAACATTAAACAAATCCATTGGATTTATGTGATGATTGTCAGACCAATGATCACGTATGGTGCAATTGCTTGGTGGCCGAAGGCTTTACAGAAAACGGCCCAAGCGAAGCTCTCTGGCTTACAGAGACAGGCTTGTCTGGCTATCAGTGGTG